TGTTTTGTGCTGCGCCATCAGCCACGCGTGGCCGATGGCGCAGCACAAAACACAGCGTGTGCGGTAGGCTTTAGCAGGAAAAAGTGCCCTTTATTTCTTCCAGGACACCCCCTTTCAAAAATCCTGGATCCGCCCCCTATGATATCAGGCAACTGCTTGGTTGTACGGGTCGTGTCGAGCAAGAAGCTATTATTAGACAAATTTTACATGCCAAATATATACCTTCCTTGATGTAGACAGGCGTCAATTTCTATCGTAGACTAAGGAAACTGAGGGCCACTGTACCAGCTTCCATAATGGTCTCGAGTTTACGACATGTTACGGGGAAGAAAACTGAAGTACATTCCGTGTAAGGATCAGTACGTCTCATATACCCGATAGGAATCTTCCTAGAATTGGAAGTTATCGCGTACAAAACGCAATGTCCCCGAAGCGATCTTTGGTCAAGGGACAAAGCGACAAACTGGAAGTAGCATATATACCGAATTGATTGCGAAAAAAGTCATGGACAGGTTATGTTCCCGTATTTTGATCTACGTGTTTATTAATGCGAAACTTTTGTAATACATGAATATAAATACAAATCAAATTACGAACACTGTCTGCTGTGCAATACACACACCAAAAACCATACATAGAATTCAACAAATTATCACGGAGACGAATTTCCACTTTGCGAATGTTTCGTACACTTATTATACAAGTCTTTAGTGAACTGCATATACGTTCGTTGCTACCAACAAACACACGCTTCCACGTAGAATGCCATATCTTGCACAGCCAGAGGTTGCATTCAAGTCTCTTAATATAACATCAGGGGTTAATAATGACAAATTTGTCATTATTAACCCCTGATAATATAACATGCGACGATAAATTCCTCAAATACGGAAGACACTGCTTGAGAACATCGTAAATTGCCACAGCACAAACATGGATACAATAATTTAACACAACACAGAAAAGACACCACTATTATTGTATCTAGCACGAATAGGGCAATGAGAGCATTCACCTGATCCTGTACATTATCCGCGTGTTATGTTCCCGTAAATTCTGAAAAACGTCCACCATACTCTGTTGGCAGGGCGCGTACTAGATTTAGTTTGTGATTCTATTCCTTTTGTTTTGTGAGAGAGACATTTGAAAGATTTCACACACGCTGAGCTTAACCGCAAATGTATTTATACCACAATCAGGTTCGATACTTCGTAGCATCATCATTCAGATCAGACGTGCATTGACGACGTATAAACACAACGAGCGTCGGGCACATAGACTACGACAGATAGTGTATGTTGAAATTCTAGCGTACATTTACGGGCACACAGATAACACCGTGGACATTATATATACACTATACTATATTATAGAGTACATATTCGTGGTAACACCGACACGTGTACGTTCGGACTCTTATATACAGGAAGTATTAGTGCAAACAAGAGTGAATAAAAGCGCTTTTTTGTTTAATATAGACAAAACATACAAATTTTGTTTTATTCACTCCTGGTGCGATGCGTGGCCTACGTCAATGTCTGATATCGACACACATGGAATCCCGATTTGTGCGCTAAATCCAAGCTCAATACACGTCGTGCGAATATCTACACGATACACATCTATCCCTATGTAGAACGCTAGATTAACGCTCTTGTACACAATACTATAAACACACACATATATAATAGAATATATATATATATATATATGTGTGTTTATAGTTACACCAATAACATATTTGTACAGTGTATACATATGTTCATAATAATACCAGTGTGCTTACGCTATTCGCACACGCAAAGAATAGTGCCTTGCAAGAACGCACGGACAGTTTCACAAGAATTACACTACTATGGACGACACGCCATGAGACCTGGAGTAGATCAGAGGCCTCATCTACTCGACATGAAATAACAGTTTGGCATCTTCTTCAATATTTTCGCTTGCTAGCATACGTCTTAATATGGTTTGAAAGTGTTCAACGTGCACCATTTATTGCAACGTGCATAGCGTGTCGTTACACTCCGTACACAAACAAATCCGACAAACAGATATAATATTCTCAATGAAGTAGCGCTGTAGACGTGAACGCTCTCACAACTATCCGTCTGTCTTTTATCATCGAAGTTTCAACATTTTATGGCTATGAACATCGGTGTGATTAGATGCATTTCACGGGAGTAGAAAAATAGATACTAATAACAGGCATGCAGGTAGAGAAAAATCTAGATTTACGCACATATCCCAAACAATTTCAGCAGCCCTCCCTTTCTCGTGTTGCGCGAAAAAAAGCGAAAAAAAATCAGGACTACAACAGATCATGAAAATATTTATACTATATATCATGGTACGTATAGATATACGTGACTATACACCTCTAGTTTGCACAAAAACGTTTCCTGCTGGTTTAACATCATACAAGCAAGTGCATGATGCATTCATCCTTTGAACTGTCTACTAATGAGGTAGGACGATTGCATTGGATCCGACTTGCCGATCAGAGTTCCTGCACTACCAGTCGTCTTCTCTGGTTTTCTCATTAGAATGGACGAGACTACAAAACCGGGAATAGTATTAGCGGTTCCTCATATCAACAATCGCAATGTGAGACAAGAGAATACATATATTTACACATATTGATGCATACGTGGGTACATTCTATAATACATGTACATATATTGAATATACTGACTGTGATAATTGTATATATATAAGTTAATGGAAATTGTTTTTGCATCAATTTTTTATCAGTCTGCTGACTTTTCTAGTCATGGTTCAATACCCAATCAATAATGAATCAAACATTGCCATTTATTGACACGTAATTGGTGCGATTTTTAAAAGAAAAGAATGTAAACTACAGTTTGAGCTGTAAATATCGACAAATTATTGCGATTACATTAAATCTTCATAAAGGGACTTAGTCAGAGGTTGTTATGCTATCTGACATCATGGATGGGTAGACTACACGACTTATGAAATTAAATAGGATAGGATAACGAAAACAGGTAATTGTGCGACGGTGTGCATTTGCAAGCACCCACGTTGGCAGTCACATTGCATTGATATGTACATTTAGGCAGTAGACAGGTAAAGTGGCACAGCCCTTCTAGGAATCGAAGTGAAATAGATACATCTCGGAAACAATCAGAAAACATGACGATATCTGTAATTACATAAAACCCTTCTCGCTCTTTCCAATACAAAAATACAAATGACTAAACTAGGGAGCGTTTGCATGGACAACCACAATCGACTCAATGCCAATGCAGGCACCACAGTGGGCTGGATATCATCAGTGAGCGAGCCAGCAAAAACCAACAAAAACCACACAACTCAAAAGGATCGGCGTGCACATGCGATGAAACTCAATTAATACATATTCTATACATTCACCGGTCGTAAACGGTGTACTCCTGAATCACTTCTACTAATATGCGACCAATTTACAGTTCCGTATATGGTTTTGTCTTCTGTCTAGCTTATGCCACCACCTCCACAGAGGCTATCAGACCTGCTCTGTCACCACATCCAACCATTGCCACTTCAGTTACCTGAGCATTGTAATAATTTTCCTCGTGCCAGAGCCCGCAAACGTCAACTGAAATGAGGTTGTAAAACTTTTTTCCTCAACGTCTGAAGTCCTGTTCGGCATTGAACCGCACATACCAACAGGCTGCTATTCCCTAGCGTGGTCCCAAGTCATCTATCGCATTGGTGTGAAATCGGTCTCATAACAAAAATCGCTCGCAACGATTAGAGCTGGAATGCACATGACACGTGTCGAGGAAAGAGACACCCTCGCATTTCATCTGATGCTTAGAAAAACTTGGGCCGTCTGACAAAGTGACAGAGCTACATTACAATCATGCTGAATTAGAAGTGCTCGTCTGAGTGGCATGTAATGAAGTGACATATTTCATCCTGGGTTGTCCGCGATCTGAACATACCTCAGGTCCACACAACATTCTACTTCATCATCCGACAAACCAATGTTTTTGTGTTGAGCAGCAGAGCAAGCTCCATTAACGGTACCACATAAATCGTACGCAGGCTTCCGCTAACGAAATGGGAGGCATCAGAATAAATAGCTAATAAAAATACATCGTCTCGATATCACATTCAACACCGCAGAAACAGGTGCTCTCAAATATTTAGTTAACAACGGCAGGACGGCGTCGACGTTTCGACGGCGCTACTCCGACGCCCTCTGTGCCCGAGCATCACCTCCTACAGTGCCCTCTATGGTTCATCAGGTATCGCCACGCAGAGCGACCTCTGGTTGATTGACTCCCACGGCTGCACGGACACTCCTGTCACAGCGACGACAGCCTACTGCATTGCCGCGACAACGACCTGTATCGCCGTGACAACGCCTCCTCTACTACAGCGAGTGGCGGCAACGCTCGTGGGGCAGCCCGTCGCCGTGACGACGCATCCTCTACTACAGCGAGTGGCAACAACGCTCGTGGGGCAGCCCATCGCCATAACGACGCATCCTCTACTAGAGCGATTGGCGGGTACGTTTGCTGGGCAGCCCGTCGGCGCTGCCGTCCAGCCCGCGCTCACGCAGCTGCCGCTCGACGTAGCGTGAGAGCCGCTGGCCGGCGCGTGCCTCCGCCGAGATCGACTGGTTGTACTGCGTGCAGTTGGTCAAGACCAGGTGGAGGTCGCGCAGGAACTCTGCCGGCCGCGCGTACTCGAACTCACGGAACTTGCCGCGCATCGTCGAGAAGTCCATCGGGCATTTGATGACCCGATAGTAGTCCGGCACCTGCGGCAGGAAATGTGAAAAAATTGTAGCATGAGGTTGGTAGAGTATCGTAGATTGGTGCCGGAGGAATAAATGCGAGGAACTGTAGTACAGCGATGGAAGAATCTCATAGATTGGTGCGTGAGGAATAAATGATAGAAACTGTGGCACGAGGTTAGTACAATCTCATAGATCGGTGCATGAGGAATAAATAATAGGAACTGTGGCACAAAGTTAGTACAATTTCATAGATCGGTGCGTGAGGAATAAATGATAGGAACTGTGGCACGAGGTTAGTACAATCTCATAGATCGGTGCGTGAGGAATAAATCATAGGAACTGTGGCACGAGGTTAGTACAATCTCATAGATTGGTACGTGAGGAATAAATGCGAGGAATGCACGCACGCACGCACGCACGCACGCACGCACACACGCACGCACGCACGCACGCACGCACGCACGCACGCACACACACACACACACAGGGGTAGAAATTAACTTTTGAACACGGGAGTCCAACGGACTTGGACTCCCTACCCTCAAAAAGAGGGAGTCCGTAGCAACATGATGGAGTCCGCAGTCTGAAGTTCAAAATTAAAGATTAATAAAAATAACACGTGCTTAATTTGAAGATTCATGCGGTTACACGTCTGCCAAATTTTCTTTGGACATTTGCTGAAAAAATACGGTAATTCCGCGAGGAATATAGTATAGTATAGTATGGCAGAATTTTCAGGGAGTCACACGGACGTACTCCTGCATATGTCAAATCAGGGAGTCTGACAGTAAATCAGGGAGTATTTGACTCCGGACGCCCGTTAATTTCGCATCCTGCACACATGCAGCACACACCAACATACGCACGTGCATTACATACAGTGCACACTACGCATGCACCAATGCACATGCAAGCACGCACGCACGCATGCACACACGCACGCCATCTCACGCAGTGCACGGGCGACACGCACACACACCATCGCATGCACGCACGCATGCTCGCACACACACCATCGCATGCACGCACGCATGCTCGCACACACACCATCGCATGCATGCACGCATGCTTGCACACACACCATCGCATGCATGCACGCATGCTT